ACAGAGACCTCCTACTAATCCCCATCTTTAAAGCCAATCAAGTCTGTTTTATTTATAAAGTTTTAACTTAATATTTAATGGGCTAGAAAAATTTACAGAGATATCTGACCAATAATTATTTGGGACAGTTAGGCCAAAGGGCCAGGACTCCTTGGCTTAAACCACACTCTGGGAACCCCAGAGCTTTTTATATAAAAGTAGGTAATTGGACAGGGAAAAGAAAAAAAACCTTCTAAAACCCCTCCTCTAGGACCAAAGTTTACTGTTTAGATCCTAATGAAAACTAAAGTTAACAGTATAAAAGTTGGTGGCATTTAGATAAAAGTATATAAAATTGGTATAATTAAATTGGCTTTATATAAAGCGGTTACAGCTCTCATTTAATTATACTGTGGGATAGACAACTGAGGAAACCAATAGTTTGTTACTCAGTCCAAGCTCACTGTACTTGCCGCAGGACAGGCCGATGAATGCAAGAAATGAGGTGTTGAGGCAAGGAAAAAATTTTATTCGGAAAGTCAGAAGACTTTTAGCTCCTCAAAACAACTCCACATCTTGTGGAGGTCTGGATGCCAGGTTCTTTTATGCAGCCAGAGAGAGAGAAGAAATGAGGAACTAAAGTCAACAGTCAAAACAGAGTCAGTGAGGAAGTGAAAGGGTCTTTAGTCTCCAGGAAGAGCCAGCTTTTGGAAAAGGGTGTGTTAATCTCTCTCTTTTTTTTTTTTGTAGCCATTCACAGGCAGGTATGGATGAGCTGAACAAAAGCATTTTAGTTTATATTCAAGCAGAGGGGGAATGTCCTCTGAGGCAGGCTATTAAGTATGGTTAAAGCAATGAAAACCAAGTCAAAGAAACAGTTCCAACATGGAGTCAGAATTGGCTTCCTCCCCGCAACAGTTACCTAAGCCATACAAAATTAGTAAAACTGGGTACTAACATGCAAGGGATAATGAAAATAAAAATAGTGATTTTGCTTTTAATTTATAAACTCAGAAAGGTCTTTGCTAAATGTCTTATACAAACCTTTGAGAGCATAATAAGTTAAACTCTAAAGTTGCGAAACTAAGCAACTGTTTTTGTTTCACAAATGTCTAAAAAAACAGAAATGTAAATGTAGGCCATAAAGACCTGAATTAGCTCAAGCCGCCACCAAGATCTGAAACCAAGGGAAAAAATATGGCAGTTTTAATCCGAACTGCTGAGATTGTTTCCTCAGTCAAACCTTACAGATAGTAAGCCTTAATTAACTCAGCAAGCAACTTTAATGTATTCCAACTGTTTGTAAACTAGTAACTTTATATGGTAATACCTGATTCTTAGACAAGCTTTTAAATGAAGCCATGAGATTGTTAGGGGAAGCACACTGACTGAAACCGCCCACCCTGGCCAGGCACCCTAGTAACCATTTGCATGAGTTGTTTTAAGACAGGAGATCCTGGTAAGGAACACGGAACTAATAAGCCACCACCAACCCAAAGAGTTGGGGAGAGGTCAAAAAGAGACACCATGTGTCTGACCACCTCCCACAACCCTCCTTTCTGGCATCCATCTTGGCTGAGCGATGACAACCCAGAAACTAATCCCATCAACATAAAACCACCTGAGACTTCCAGCCAAGTGGCAGAGCAGTTCTCCTGGGTTCCCCTACCCTACTGCTCTCCACCCGGGTGCCCCTTCCCAGTAAAATCTCTTGCTTTGTCAGCAAACGTGTCTCCTCAGACATTTCCAAGTGTTAGACAAGAGCCCACTTTCGAGCCCTGGAAGGGGTCCCCATTCCAGCAAGAAGATCTAGAGTTTGCCTATTTATGTCTGTGTCCACATTATACATATGAAATATCTCTACTTCTAAAAAAGTATTATTAGAATTTGATTTAAAAAGAGATCTATTTAATCTTCATAAAAAGCTCTTACTTTTAAAGAAACTGGCCATGATGACTTTCAGGTTCACATGAACTGAGGAATAGTCAATATTAAGTTGATACCTGATATTAAGGTTTAAGACTGTTAATCTAATTAAAATAAGACATGCTGTTAAGATTATTTTACCTAGGTTTAATAAATAAGACTTTACTAGATCTCTTGCAAGAAAATAACTTGATATAATGAAACTTCAAAGTGAATGTAAATAAGAATCTTAGAGTTAAAACTCTTGTCTTTTAGAAGTGACTGCTTAAAATGATCTTTCCAAATATTTGATAACTTAAAAGTTCTGGAGTTATGTTAACTGATGTGATGAAAATTTATTAAATAGCTAAAAGATACTGAGACATCAATTATTAAGTAGAAAAACAAAGTATTTGGGAATATTAATGAAAATGTTTGGTATCACCTGAAATGTTCTCTGTAAGAAAACAAATGTTTTTAGAAATTATCACTGGTGTTTATACACCAATCTACAGAATGCCGATGTAAGACAGTTCAGTACTGCTTACTTCTTAGCTTTACTAAAATTAAGGTTTTAAGAGTTGAGGACTCTAATTTAAACATGGAATTAAAAAGCTATGAGAAATGATACAGTAACTTTTCAGTATACAGTAAGAAATAGAATGTATGTTTTCAGAAAGAAGATATGAAAAATGAAATTACATTCTATTGAGGAAAAAGAAAGTATTAGCCAGTTGATTTTATTTGGATGGAAAATGAGAGGCTGAATACAGGAAGTGTTGAGAGATTTTGGAAAGAAAAAGGAAAAAGTTTTATCAATATCATATTCAGGATTATCTAAATTTAGATTCAAGTTGACTAAATGGATTTTGTTAAGTGAGCCAGTGCAGGAGTAGGATTTGATTTATGGGAGAAATGCTCCTTTTTAATAATAAATTGTGTGAGTTTCTGCAACCTTAAGTGATCTCTATTTGATTTCCTTCAATTGTTTTATGACTTTGGTTGAATAAGTATTCTTTCAGTGACCTACGATACTGTTTTATAATTCTAACAAAATTCCCAAATATCAAAATCTAACTAAGCTGTTTTAGCTTCTAGATGACTTGGGGATGGATGCTTTGAAGAAACATCTCCAAAACATCTCAGAGACAAATGTTAAATTAAGTTTATTTGGCATATTTTTAATTCAAAAGCACTGTCAAATGACTGAAGGTGAACTTTAGGTTATAATGTATGGATAAATATCATTAACACAGATATTCCAAAATTTATATGAAATCCTTAACATCTGATATGTCCTGATATAATGCTACCAGTCATAATTTTAGTGATTATACTAAAATATCCAAATTTCCTAATTACACTGTACTCAAACCTTTAACTATGCTATTTTAAGTTTTGTCCTTCAGAGACTATCATTATTTTACACTGCCTTTACAAAATGAAGATTTCAAGAAAACTCATAAAAAGAACTTTTAAACAAATAAACCAATGTGTTTGATAGCCTTACTACCACTAAACTGGGTAACAAATTACAAACTAATGGAAAACCTGATTACTTCATGCAGATCAACAGGAATCAATTACATGAAACTAAATGAACTGATGAATTATGATTTATATTTTTGACTTTAGAAAACATACGAACTTGAACCTGTTTTCCAGTAAATTTTTTTCTCTTATGCTGTGACCTACAACAGGTTGATAAGTATGCCTTTGTAAACAAAGATAAAACATTTATCTTTTTCTCTCTGCCTGATCCTGCCAAGATCTGGCTTCTCCAGCTGGATCTCCTATGGACTTAATGGTTATTGCAACTAGATTACAACTCATTAAACTAATAACTTTTGTTGTTTCCAAATTGTTTATGCTTTTGTCTCTCAGTTACAATGACTTTGTCAAGGTTACTAGTGAAATTGCTTATGTCTATTTTATAAGACTGTCCTCTCTTAGAGTGTGTAGCCAGCCCTCCAACAAATGTAATGGTGACTTAAAGCAACTGATCCAAAAAATAGAGATCTGTATGCCTTCAATAACAGTAACAGTGTATTCTAGGTATGGGAAGATGCAACAAGGGAAATATCTCCTGAATCCTAATAGGTTAGAAGATAGAGGATCCAGAGAATCTTCTATTGTCTATCAATGGGCCTAATCCAGAAGTTAACACCTGGAGCGACATAGCAACAAGAACTTTCGTTTGATCTCAGACGTCCTTCCAGAGAAGCGGGACCAAAAAAAAAAAAAAAGTCATGAAAAGTCTCTCACATATGGTTGAATTTCCAACCATAGAGAGGGACTGTGAAAGAAACATTTCCTGCCACATCAGTAAACAAGCATGTCACAGCCATCAGCGCTTTGGGGCTTCCAAATGTGAATGAGGGCTCCCAAAACAGAAAACAATGTCTGCGATTCAGCAGATGCCACCACCCACCCACCCTCAGCCTCAGTGCTGAGGAGCTCGGGGGCATGTGAGAAATCAAGAAAACCAGGATGCTGGCCTCAAATAGCTGAGATGCACAGAACAGGAATGATTTCAAAAACCCCACACTCCTGCATCTTCCCATTCACAGTAAATTCCTTAACTTGAGATTATCTAGTTTTCTTTAATTAGCAAAAAACTTTGATGTGCAAACTGCCTGGCGCCCTCTGTTACAAACTTAAATATATTCTAACTCCCTCCCCAGCCTTCTCCCGGCAGTTTCTCAGGGCTATATGACACGCAGTCTCCCTGGCTTGAAGTCCTAAGCATTCCAATCAAAAAAAAACACACTCCTTTCAGGTTGTGACTGTTTTTTTAGCGGACTGGCAGGAGAAGCCAGAAGGCGCCTACCACGAGGAAAGAGACTAATAGCACAGATGTTCACAGCCTTCCAGGGCCAGATAGGACCGCGGCCCGGCCCCCTGGCCGGTCCCCTCAGGCCGAGCCTCTCACGCCCCTGGCGTCCCCCGGGTCAGGCCTTGACCCAGGCGACGCGGGAGCGTGACGTCGGCGCGGCGCCGGCGGGTGACGTCAGCCCGGCGAGGGGGCGGCAGTTGGACTCTACCACCGCTGGCGCCCCTGCCCCTCCCCTCCCGGCCTGGTGCTTCCCGGACTTAGCAGTCTATCACCGACTCACCTTCCCATCGCTGTGGAAAGGGAGGCCGAGCTCCTCGGGGGAGAGCGGGGTGCGAGAACATGGCGGTTCTTCGGCCTGCCTCTCGGCGGCGGCCTCGTAGTCCGGGAAAGGGTTGGGGAACGCCCGATCTTCCATATCTGCGTCCCCGCCCAGCTGCAACTTGAGCCTCCGGGACATGGTCTCGCCCATGTCGGCCGCGCGCCCTGCCCTCCGCGGGGCCGCGCGGTACGGCGAGTGAGCTGGGACAAGCCTCCTCAGAGGCGCTCGGCCCGGCCACGGCGGGCGGCGGTAATCCCTAGGAAAGCGGCGGATGCGCCGCGCCGCGCATACACGTGGCTGTGGCGGGCGCCCGGTCCCGCCCCGACCTGGCTGGGGATGGGCCCCCGGGGAGGCTGCGGCGCCTTGCAGTCACCAAGGCTCCGCGGTACGGGGTCCCCTCCGAGGAGGAGGCTTCAGCCGGCCGGCGGCGCCGCGAGGACAGCGTCTCCGGGGAGGGCGCGGTCCCTCCCTGTCATCCTGCCGTTGGGGGGGTCTGGAGGAGGAGCCAACGCCTTTTTTTTTTTTTCTCCCTTCTTTTAGGTTAGCCCCTTTGTTTTGAATAAACGAATATCTTAGGTAATGGCAGGTCACGTGAAAGCATACTTAATCACCTAAATATTTTATTGACCCGAAAGTTCCATCGATATTAGTTAAATTGCCCAGGAACATAACGTGTGTAATAAAGGACACAAGCAAGTAAATCTGCAGTTGTATGATCACAACATAGTTAACAGTCTTTACTGGTTCTCTTTTTTTCTTGTTGTTTCTTTAATTATTTGAAGCTAAATAGATGTTAGAGATGTCATGATTTCTCCTTGAGGGAAATATATTGTTGCATTATTTCGTTTTTTAATTTTTGTTTCCATTTAAACATGATTGACTGCCAGATGGTACTAGTTAGTTAAGTCGCTAAGTCGTGTCCGACTCTTTGCGACCCCGTGGGCTGTAGCCCACCAGGCTTCTCCGTCCATGGGAGTCTCCAGGCAAGAATACTGGAGTGGGTTGCCATTTCCTCCTCCAGGGGACCTTCCGGACCCAGGGATCGAACCCAGGTCTCCTGCATTGCAGGCAGAAGCTTTACCCTCTGAGCTACCAGGGAAGCCAGATGGTACTAGGTGATGACAAAAGATAGTTTCTGCCCTGGGGATTCCAAGTTAGAAAAGTAAGCGTAGCTTAGCATGATATGAATACTCTTCTGGAACTAAAGAAGGTATACATTTAATATATCAAAAGTGACATGATAGAGGAAAACAATATCTACCACAATAAAGCCTGTATTCTGCCTCTGTGGCCTGGCTTCCCACTCCTGCCTGTCCAGGTGTCTTCCCTGAACTGTACTAGATAAACATGTTGAACAGCCTCCTCCCATAAGATGACCATGGAAAACACCACTGTAGGAGAAAAGCAGTGTAAAGGTGTTACTCGGCATAAACATATATCCTTAGTGTTCAAGGAAACAGAACTGATGTAATGGGATGCCTTGAAGGCCCATTCCACTTTCCTGCTGTTAGGTTAGGGAAAAGGAGTCCAGAATGGCGGTGACTAAAAGACCTGGAAGGGAAAAGTCTGCGAAAATAGAACAAAGGAAGGTCCAAGGATCGGAGTGAGAACCTCAGGTAAAACAAACAGCACTCCTGGCTGGCCCAATTTACATAGGACAGGCCCAGGGAGAGAAAAACGTTTAAAAAGAGGAGCCAAAGCTAGCGCGCTCTCTCTCCCATGCGCTAGGGCGCTCTTCTCTTCGCGTCTTTGGGTCAACATGCCCTCATGCCTGGAAGATGGATTTTCCTGCTATCATCTAAATAAAATAGAGCTGTAACACTGAGCTATAACACTGATTTATCTAAGAGCTATAACACCGTCCATTCGAGACCTGAGAGCTATAACACGGTCTGTCCAAGACCCGAGAGCTGTGACACGCCGAGGGGGCTTTCATGTCCGTCACTCCAAATCTTTGTTGTGACGAGGCAAAAACCTAGGAGCATACACTCGCCTGACACTGCTTCATTTCTTTGTCCCAGTGTCCATCTTTCTTTCATCCTCAATGAAGGACGTTTTCTAACTGCTCCTGAATTCTGACCCCTATCTGTTGTTGTTCAGTCACTCAGTCGTGTTTGACTGTTTGAGTGGACTGCAGCATGCCAGGCTTCCCTGTCCTTTACCATCTCCCAGAGCTTGCTCAGAGTCGTTACCTTTACCATATTGAAATTCAGTGCCCTAACAGCTGAGACTCGTCTGGCTTAGGAGCCGTCTCTCTCCCACTTCGTGGACTTTACTAGGCAAAATAACCCACAGCAGATATTTCCCAAAGCCTGAGTTATTTAGACTCTGACACCACAGGTATGTGCAGCAGAAGCATCCGCTGCTGGCTTTGCTGTATTAGGCCTAGTGACCTTTGGCCTTTCTCTACCCCTTGTTGACTGGAAAAAAAAAAAAATCAATGCACAGTGTAAAGGTTAAGAATTACATTTTATTCCATGGCCATACTGAGGACCATAGCCTGTGATGGCAGCCTCTCAGATAGTTCTGAGGAACTGTTAAAGAGGAAAAGGAGGGGCCAGGATACATAGGAGTTTGATGAAAAAAACAAAACAAAACAAAACAAAACACCCTGTAGTTGAATATTGAAAAGTTACTGCTAATCACACACACACAAAAAAACTCCTGACTTCACAAATTAATGATTTTAGTGCCCTTCTAAGATGCAAGAGTCCAAGCTCGTTGACATTATTCCTCCGATCTGCATCTTACCTATCTGGGGTTTCATTGTTGTTTTTTTCTTCATCATGAATCCCATCAGGGTGCACCACTGGGGGCAACCACGGTGGATGATGGCTCTAGGATGAGGACATCCCTTGTTTGATGCAATGGCAAGGCAATATTTTGTTCACAACTTGGTGTGAGATAAAGATAGTTTTTCTCCTTCTCCTTAAAATCTTGGTGATAACCGTGGACAACTACTGGCAGGTACACAAACTTGTCCTAAGGACAGCCAATATTTTCAAAGATCAAAAAATGTAAATCTAATGTAAGGACTTGGCAAATTTTCCTAAACGCTGTTCAACTTGCAGCTGTCTTCAGTGGAGATTTCATTTACATTGTTTTTCAAGAAGTGACAGTCTCCTTTCTTCACCTACCTCCAAGAGGCTTCTTAATGCAGGAGGCATAGGGATCCCTTCTGACTTTTCAAACCTCAGGACCACCCTTCTCTGCTGGACACTCTTTAGTAGTACAAGGACGTGGCCAGTGCCTTGAAATTACAGACGTTTTAATTATTTTAGGCCAAACCAAATTCTTAGGGAGGGAATCCTTCCCAACCCTTCTATGTAATTGAGATGGTCAGTACAAGGATTAACTAAATACCCATCCAAAACAAATCCCAGGAGTGGTAAGGGCAGTTGGCAAGTGATGTCTCCTTTCTTTCAAAGGAATCTAACTGGGGGAGGGGCATCTCTGTGTTCACCTGACTGAGAACTAGGGCACCACTTAAGGTTGGAAACCCTGAAAGGGCCCAGGGAGTAAGACTTTCTCCTGTAGGAGCAGGTGTTCCTGAGGGCGTGAGTAGGGATGTGTGGCTGAGAAGCTTCCAGATAGCATGCATGTTGGCAGGGGTCAGGTGAAAGAATTTCTGTTGAGGACACATGAAGGCCTGAGCTTTGCTTTTGATTTATTATTTCTCTTTTGTTATATTGATTCTTCACACGTTTGTCATCTCACAGGCTTTAGATTTGCACACCTCCCTCAGCCACCAGTGAGCCCTCTGGTCGCCTCCATGCTTGCCAGAGCTGCCTGGGCTTCCATTAAAAGGACTTTCCTTTAGCTGGTACAAGAGGAAGTCCCACAAGGCAGACCAGCAAATGCGCTTTGTCTTACACTGCAATCTCCTCAGAGATTTCCTTACGCTTTGTCCATCCATCCTGTCCTGTCCTGTCCTGTCCACGTTGTTAGCTGGGAGAAGAAACAAGCTAACCCGAGGCTATAGGGAAGGGTTTGTTTTACCCCCTGTCTCTTTTGATACATGAGATTGTTCCTTGTAGCTGCAAGCCTTATACAGGTCCTATGTATGCTATGCAACCCTGATTTAAGACAAATTCAATCCCTTAAGCCAGCAGTTCTCGCAGTGTGATCAGACCCTTTAGGGGGGCTGTGAGGCAAAAACTAGCTTTTGTGTTTTTTTAAAATTAATTTTAATAAAGTTAATATATTGAATTAACCTTAAAATTAAAAAAAAAACCCAAAAACTAGATTTGGCCTCACAGCCCCCCTAAAGAGCAATATTTCATAGGAACCTGGAATGTTAGGTCCATGAATCAAGGCAAATTAGAAGAGGTCAAAGAGGAGATGGCAAGAGTGAACGTCAACATTCTAGGAATCAGCGAACTAAAATGGACTGGAATAGGTGAATTTAACTCAGATGACCGTTGTATCNCCTGAGGTTCTCACTTCAATCCTCAGACCTTCCTTTATTCTATTTGTTCTATTTTTTGGGGGCTTGTCCCTTCTTTGTCTTTTTTAGCCACCACCATTTTGGACCCCTTTTTTGGATTCTAACTACCTAACATTACCCACTAAGAGATGGGAAGCCCGATTCTTTGAGAATAGGGGTGTCGAGGTATTTCTGGCTATTTCCTGCTGAACTGGGATGGCGAGCGGCATTGGGCATCCGCCTCTTGCTAGTCTCAAGCCTCAGAGTCCTTATAATGGTGGCCATCTAAGGGTGAGTGATATTTTCCATGGTTGGCTGTGGTTTTATATAGCCTTGTTGAACTGGCACTGCATGTTGTAGCTTGTTGACCTGGGCAGAGAAAAAATGGGTTAGACAATTGATATTACATGGAACAATCATGAGCAGCATCAATATGGTGATGACAGGGATTAGTAGGGGCATTAGCCAATTCGAAATTCCCCATCGCCAGGAGAAGGATCCCCCAAAGAGAGACTGCATCCACCTGAGAACGCTCCAGCTTGTTCTTTGAGATCCTGTAGGATCTGAATGTTTTCCTTGAGGACTGTGAGACTTTCTTTAACTTAGCTGGAGGTATTTTCCCAGAAACAATATGTCTCATTCAAGATGGGTCAAATCCCTCCTTGTTCAGGGATCAGGAGATCTATCTCCTGACTGTTTTGGAGTACAACCCCTGCCAAGCTGTGTTGGCTCTTTAAAGCTG